AGAGAGGGAACACAAGCAGGGGGAGTGGGAGAGGGAGAAGCAGGCATCCTGCTGAGCAGGTAGCCCGATGTGGGGCTCAATCCCAGGACTCTGGGATCATGACCCGAGCCGAAGGCAGACGCTTAACCGACTGAGCCACCCAGGCGCCCCTCTCGTTGTAGTTTTGATTTACATTTCCCTGATGATGAGTGATATTGAGCATCTTTTCATGTGTCTGTTGGCCATCTGGATGTCTTCCTTGGAGAAATGTCTGTTCATGTCCTCTGCCCATTTTTAATTGGATTATTTGTCTTTGGGGTATTGAGTTGTATCGGTTCTTCATATATTTTGGATATTAACCCTTTATCAGAGATGTCATTTGCAAATATCTTCTCCCATTCAGTGGGTTGCCTTTTAGTTTTATTGATTGCTTCCTTTGCCATGCAGAAACTTTTTATTTTGATGTAGTTTCAATAGCTTATTTTTGCTTTTATTTCTCTTGCTTCAAGAGACATATCTAGAAAAATGTTGCTATGGCTGATAGAGAAATGACCACCTGTGCTCACTTCAAGGATTTTTATGGTTGCGGGTCTCACATTCGGCTCTTTAATTCATTTCCAGTTTATTTTTGTGTATGGTAAAAGAAAATGGTCCAGTGTCATTCTTTTGCATATGGCTGTCCAGTTTTCCCAACAGCATCTGTTGAAGAGACTTTTTCCTGTTGTATATTCATTCCTCCTTTTTGAAGATTAATTGACCAAATAATTGTGGGTTTATTTCTGGGTTTTCTGTTCTATTCTATTGATATATGTGTCTATTTTTATGTCAGTACTATACTGTTTTAATTACTACCACTTTGTGATGTAACTTGAAACCAGAAATTGTGATACCTTTTTTTTCTGTATTTTTTTATTATGTTCAGTTAGCCACTGTATAATACATCCTTAGTTTTTGATGTAGTGTTCAACGATTCATTAGTTGCGTATAACACCCAGTGCTCATCACATCACATGCCCTTCTTAATACCCATCACCCAGTTACCCCATCCCCCACCCCCTCCCTTCTGCAACCCTCAGTTTGTTTCCCAGAGTCCAGAGTTTCTCATGGTTTTTCTCCCTCTCTGATTTCTTCCCATTCAATTTCCCCTCCCTTCCCCTGTGGTCCTCTACGCTATTCCTTATATTCCACACATGAGGGAAACCATATGATAATTGTCTCTCTCTGTTTGACTTATTTCACTTAGCATAATATTCTCCAGTTCTATCCATGTCGATGCAAATGGTGGGGATTCATCCTTTCTGATGGCTGATGCTTTTCTTTTTCAACATTGCTTTAGCCATTTGAGGTCTTTTGTAGTTCCATACAAATTTTAGGATTGTTCTAGTTCTGTGAAAAATGCCATTGGTATTTTGGTAGGTATTGCATTAAATGTGTAGATTGCTTTGGATAGTATCAACATTTTAACAAGATTTATTCTTCTAACCCATGTGCATGGAATGTTTTTCCATTTCTTTGTGTCATCTTTAATTTCTTTTATCAGTGTTTTATAGTTTTTAGAGTACAGGTCTTTCACCTCTTTGGTTGAGTTTATTCTTAGGTATTTTGTTGTTTTGGTGCAATTGTAAATGGGATTGTTTTCTTAATTTCACTTTCTGCTGCTTCATTATTAATGTATAAGAATGCAACAGAGGGCGCCTGGGTGGCTCAGTTGGTTAAGCGACTGCCTTCGGCTCAGGTCATGATCCTGGAGTCCCTGGATCGAGTCCCGCATCGGGCTCCCTGCTTAGCAGGGAGTCTGCTTCTCTCTCTGACCCTCCCCCCTCTCATGTGCTCTCTCTCATTCTCTCTCTCTCTCAAATAAATAAATAAAATCTTTAAAAAAAGAATGCAAGATTTCTGCACACTGATTATGTATCCTGTGACTTTACTGAATTCATTTATCAGTTCTAGTAGTTTTTGGTGAAGTCTTTAGGGTTTTCTATATATGGTATCATGTCATTTGTAAATAGAGTTTCACTTCTTCCTTACCAATTTGGATGCCTTTTGTTTTTTTATGTTGTCTAATCGCTGTGACTAGGATTTCCCATACTATATTGAATAAAAGTGGTCAGAGTGGACATCCTTATCTTGTTCCTCACCTTAAGGGAAAAACTTTCACTTTTTCACCACTGAGGATGCTGTTGGCTATGGGTTTTTCATATAAGGCCTTTATTATGTTAAGTATATTTCCTCTAGACCTACTTTGTTGAGGATTTTTATCACGAATGGATGTTGTATTTTGTCAAATGCTTTTTCTGTATCTATTGAAATTATCACGCGGTATTGTTTTGTGAATATTGAACCCCTCTTGCATCCCGGGAATAAATCCCACTTGATTGTGGTGTATGATTTTTTTTGATGTATTGTTGGATTCGTTTGGCTAATACATTGTTGAGGATTTTTGCATGTATATTCATGAGAGATATTGGCCTGTAGTTCTCTTACAATTCTCTTTTTTTGGTGGTGTCTTTATCTGGTTTAAGTATCAGGGTGATACTGGCCTCATAGAATAAATTTGGAAGTTTCCTTCCTTTTGTATGTTAGCAGGCTCTTTGAAGATCCCCAGCTGGGGATCTCCAGTGCCATTTTCTGATCCAGGCAACATGGGTGATACCCAATCCAGCTAACTTTCTATAAAAGTTCCTCAACTCCTGCTTCTTCACATAGCTCACAGAGATGCTTTCTGCTGGGGTCTCCCCTCCTGAGCAGGCAGAAATCTTGGGTGGGGTACTTTCAAGACACTCAAGCCTGGCTACCTTCCAAGGTGACCTGACACCTGGCCATGTAAACATCCCAGCCCTGGCCCCAACAAATTTTAGAAGTGTATGCCACTTCCAATAAACAGTTTAATGGAGCCCTATCGAGTGGCCTGCCTTCTTTCTGAATAAAGAAATTCTTGACTCTCTCAGCAATCTTTAGCCTTTTCTTAGATCTAGGCTAGGCTGGACATGGGTGATGTGCCAAGACCAGAAGTTGCAGGACCAGTTTGGATACTTCTGAGCAAGCTCCTCATGGATGGCCTAGCACCTCTCTTAAAAATACATGTGTGTTGGGGGGCGCCTGGGTGGCTCAGTCATTAAGCGTCTGCCTTCGGCTCAGGTGATGATATCAGGGTCCTGGGATCGAGCCCCGCATCGGGCTTCCTGCTCCTCGGGAAGCCTGCTTCTCCCTCTCCCACTCCCCCTGCTTGTGTTCCCTCTCTCGCTGTGCCTCTCTCTGTCAAATACATAAATAAAATCTTTAAAAAATTTTTTTCTAAAAAAAAAAAAAATACATGTGTGTTGGTAGAGGTGAAAGTCATAGGGGTGGGAGATCACCTATTATTCTCAGCCTCGGGGTTTAACCAATATCCCACAGAGTTGGAAAAGCCTAGCCTATCCCTCTGGACAAAGAAAAAAGTGAGCCAGAGTATAAATTCACAGTAAAGTACAGGTGTCACCTAATCCCAGAGGTACTCACATTTTTTGTTTTTGTAATTTATTTTTTTAAGATTTTATTTATTTATTTGAGAGAGCGAGAGAGAGCATGAGTGGGGGGAGGGGCAGAGGGAGAAGCAGACTCCCCATCCCAGGACCCTGAGATCATGACCTGAGCTGAAGGCAGACGCTTAACTGACTGAGCCACCCAGGGGCCCCAGGACTCCTGTTTTAACAGAGGAGAGGGCAATGATCGACTTGAAAGTATGCATTGCTAATAAAACAAAATGCCCCAAATCAAAGATAAACCTTCACAGGAGGTCTGTTATACACCTGGTGCTGCCTATCTGAGTCCAGCACCAGTATTCTGCAGGGGGAGCTGGGTCCTAAGATTCACCTGAGCTGGCAAAAAGAGCTTGTAATGGCCCATTGGAAGGCAGCTTGAACAGTGCTGGGCTGGCCCGCCGGCTTGGTCCCCATGCCCACCCTGCAGGTAAGTAGCTGCCCACTGTATTTGGAAGAGTGCTGAGGGTGCCCTGGATTCAGTGGGAGAATGTGCTATCAACTTAGTGGGTGTGAATGCGGGCTTCCCACTTACCCATTATGTGACATTGCTGCTTAACCCCTGGACGCCCACTTCTATAAACTGATAAGGCCTGTTTATGATATATTCTTCTGAAGATTAAATGAAATGGTATTTGCAGAGCACCTAGCACCCAGTTGCACCCAATAGGTGTTACCTTCCTTCTTTCCACCTCTAAGATCCCTCATATCAGCATCTCAGCATACCTTTCTTCATGTCTATATATTGGTGAGTGTAGAAACTATATATTGGTGAGCAGTATTTACCATTTAGTCCCTGCATCACACAGATGCAAACCGACCCAGACTAAGGACAGAGACATCGTTACATTCTTCAATGGTCCATCCTGGGTGTGACAAAATTCCTTTGGCATTGTCTTTCAGGTGTGCCTCCTGGTTGGTATTCTGAAGGGACAGGTTTTCAGTTTATAAAGATTACATGGTTTTGCAGTGAGATCATCACCCTTCCACATTCCACACAGACACACACGTGTGCACCCTTTCTGGGAGGCAGTGGGAGGGAGGGGAAGAACCTGCCATCCACCCGCAGAAAGCAAGGTATCATGGAAATCTTTTCAGCTGACTCAGGGGAACCCACTTAAACTCAAATTCAGAGTTGCTTTTCCTTGTCTTTTTAACATGAGGTGCCAGACTAAGGCATTTTGGTTGCATCTTTCCCTTATGTCTCACAGCAACCCTGTGAGTTTGGCAGTTCCTTGTACCTAATTTGCAGAGGGAACTGGGCAAAAAGAAGCGCTAATCTGAGGTTCGGGTGTATGCACAAGAGCTCAACCCAGGTCTACGGGGCTTCTGTTCTCCCGTTGGGTGAGAGCTGCTGCACCTGTAAGTCACCTGAGCCAGTATAAGTTTATACGAACCTTTCAGCTTGGTACACTCTCACCCTCCCTAACATGACTGACAGCTTTGCCTTACCCCCACCCCAAGCACCCCCAAAAAGGCAGGAGGAAAGTCCGCTGCACTTACCTGCTCCCTGTCCTCTGACTCCAGTAGGTGGGTCATCACTTTACCTACCCCACAGCGACCTGGCCACATGGTGAGGCATGGGCTCTGCTGTCCCTGTCCCTGCTCAGGAGATGTAGCCGACACAGCACCCAGGGGACATCTGAAGGTTTGGCCCAGGGCTGCTGTCTGCTCCTTCACTTTATCGTCTGAAGACCTCAGAAAGCAATCTCTACCATGGGGCAGGCGGGAGGGCTCATGCCTTCAGGGAGCCTAGAATAAAGTGCTGACTCATGGACAGGTGTGAGCAGAGTTAGGGAGGGGTTGCTGGAGGGGGCAGCTTTGAGAGCCTGGAGGTGCTAATCCCATCTTTTCCCCTGATCCGCATGTGACCGTGCCCTTCCTCTGCACTGAGGCTTCCTAGGGAACCGTGGAGGGCGGTGACAGATACCACATTAAGTTCCTGAAAGAGATCAAATGCCATTCTTTGAGTTTTTGGTTTAAAGGGAGGCCTGCAAAAAATGAATGGCCCTCCACAGCTCATGTTTGAACTGCACTTAAACTTTTTCAGGGCATTTCATAATGCCCAAGCCAGAAATCTGGTTAATCTATAGTCCTCTGCCTTCATGAACCTTCCGTACCAGCCCAACGAGCCTTTGTTGGTTGAATCCATTCATGGGAATTAATGAAATCCTCACAGTGACCTGGGAGGTGGCCAAGGTTATTACAAAATCACGCTTACAGATGGTAAGAAGAGGAAGGAATCAACATCTGTTAGGGGTCAGGGTGCCAGATTTAGCAAATCAAAGCATGGGATTCCCAGTTAAATTTGAATTTCAGATAAATGGCCAATCATTTTTTTAGCGTAAGTATGCCCTATGAATATTTGGGATATACTTACACTAAAAAAATTCGTTGTTGTTTGTCTGAAATTCACATGTAACTGGGTGTCCTGTATTTTATCAGGTGACCCTAGTTGGAGGCCTACTGTGCGCCTGAGGTCATCTCTCCTTTCTCTCATTCCATCCTCATTCAGCCCTGAGAGGGAGCCAGGATTAAGTTATATTGACCTGACCGTACAGATGAGAAAAAAGGATACTTTGGTAAGTAACCTGATTTGCTTCATGTACCACAGCTCGAGGAAAAAGCGGTGGGGACTGGAACCTCGAGCCCCTGACCTCCCACCCTACTTTTTAGTGGGTTGGAGCTCACAGGGTAAGGAAGGCCTATGGCTGGTGGAGCCACGGGGGATCCCACATCACTGTGGTCAGAGAAGGCAGGTCCTAGTCCAGAGACTCAGCTCTTCGAGTGGAGCCCAGGCATGTAGACCAAGTTCACCTGGGTTCCTCTGGGCAACACTACACAGGCAGGCAGGGACAGCCTCGGGGCACCTGCCCACGGCTCATGACGAATGCCTTTGCACGCAAGTGGTTTGAGATCCCATGTGGAATGCTTGAATGCTACACAAATAATAACAATGCAATGACAACAGTAACAGTAGTGTTAATTAGTATGTACTAACATACTAGGGTATTTGTGTACTGGTACAAGTATGTGCCAGGGATTGTGATAACTCTTTATCCCATTACTTCTTTTAACACCCCCCCCACCAAAACCCCCCAGTAATTGTATTATTCCCGATTGCCACCATTTCTTTTTTTTTTTAAAGATTTTATTTATTTATTTGACAGATAGATAGAGAGCACAAGTAGGCAGAGAGGCAGGCAGAGGGGGAGGGAGAAGCAGGCTCTCCACTGAGCAGGGAACCGGATGCGGGGCTCGATCCCAGGACCCCGGGATCATGACCTGAGCCGAAGGCAGCCACTTAACCGACTGAGCCACCCAGGTGCCCCGCCACCATTTCTTGAGTGTTACCATGTGCTGGGCCTATACACATAATTTATGTCCTTATCTCATTTAACACAAACAAGCACCCTGTCAGGTGAGTATCATTATCCACATTTCAGATGAGGATCAGAGAATTAAGAAAGGGCCCAAGATCACAGAGCTGTCAGAACTCAAACCCGGATCTGCACCCCCACCTCCCGTGTGCATTCCACGCTGCACATGGCCCCTCCTCCCTGAGGAAGGTCAGATGCAGAACAACCCAATGCCAGTTCCAGCTAGCTCTTCCACACCCCTTCATGCACACGAAGGAAACTCACTTCCCCTTGAGTAAATCTGTCCTGGGATAAAAACTTAAAAACGATGTCCAGGCCCCCATAATGTTTCTGGTTGGTAAATTTCCTCAGGGAGTGCCTCTGTAATCCCCACAGTTTCTGGCCACTTCCTTAGGTAAACCAGAGTTAGGGAATGCCTGTTGTGGTGTGGTGCCCCCCTTTCAGCTGAGTTCACTTCCCAGCTCCTTGCCCTTTGGTTTGGTTTGGTTTGATTAATGAGCAAAACAATATGGCTGCGAGACCCACCAGATCCCTAGAAACGAGAAACAAATGTGTCAATCTTCCCCAAATTAATTTATGGCTTCATTACTTACATTCAAAATTCTAAAGGGACTTCTTTGGTGAAACCTCACTAATTTGGAAAAATCAACAGGCCACGGAAAACCAATACATTTACAGTGAAAAAAAAAACAGTAATAACTGGGGACTGGTGTTTCTTGATTTTAACACTTATTAAATTAAAAAAGCAAGTATATGCAAGTTATGGGCAAACACATTAACAGAGCAAAATTAAAAATTCAGAAATGTACCTTCTACAAAGAACCTGACACGTGATAAAAGATGCACCTCAAATAAAGGGTGAGGGGATGGATTACTTAACAAGAGACTGTGAGGAGCAATACAATGGAGAAAAGGTAGTCTTTTCAACAAATGGTGTTGGACCAACGGGACATCCATATACAAAATAGTAATAATAATCTGGACACACAGATCTTACTCTCTTCACAACAAAATGGATCATAGACCTAAATGTCAAATGCAAAACTATAAAATTCTTTTTTTTTTAAAGATTTTATTTATTTATTTGAGAGAGTGAGAATGAGAGACAGCACGAGAGAGAAGAGGGCAGAGGGAGAAGCAGACCCCCTGCTGAGCAGGGAGCCCGATGTGGGACTCGATCCCGGGACTCCAGGATCATGACCTGAGCTGAAGGCAGTCGCTTAACCAACTGAGCCACCCAGGCGCCCAAAACTATAAAATTCTTAGAAGATAACATAGGAAAACAACAAGGTGACCTTGGGTGTGGGGATGACGTTTTAGGTACAACACCAAACAGCTAACTGACAAACTGGACTTCACTAAAATTAAAAACTACTCTGTGAAAGACACTGTCAAGAGAATGAAAACACAAGCCACAGGGCAAAAGAAAATATCTGCCAAAGACTCATCTAATCAAGGATTGTTATCCTGTCAATCTTTGCAATTGCCACTCATCTGTCAACAAAATACAAACTATCTTTATTGTTTTGATGGACATTCTTTTAATGATGACTGAGAATTAACGTATTTTCATATATTTATTTCTCATTTGCTTTTTATCTTTTGTGAACTGCTATTTATATCCTTTGCTCACTTTTTAAAGGCCTTGCCTTTTAAAAATTAATTTGTAAATGTCCTGTGCATATTAGAGATATTAACTCAGTGTTATATATGTTGCAAACGTATTTCCCGGTTTGTTATTTGTGTTTCAACTTTATTACTCTTAACATGCCAGGTGGTTTCTTTTTTTAACTGCATGTTTTTTAATCTACGAAATACTCCATTATAGTTTCCTTTTGACATCATACCTTCCGCACTTCAAGACAATAAAAATATTTACCCATATTTAGTATTTTATGGTTCACTTCTAATATTTGAATTTCTTATTTCTTACAATTTATTTTGGTATTAAAATGAGATTAGGATCAAGCTTTATGGTTTTCCTGTTAGAGAGTTGTCTCAGAGATTTGAAATGGCATTTTTATCATACACAGATGCTCAATTCTGATATATATTTATATACACATGCTGTGTTGGTTTGCTGGGGCTTCCATAACAAAGAACCGCAGACCAGATGGCTTAACCAACAGAAACTTGCTTTCACACCATTTTGAAGCTGGAAGTCCAAGGTCAAGTTATCAGTAGGGTCAATTTCTCCTAAGGCCTCTGTCCTTGGCTTGTACATGGCTGTTTTCTGCCTGTGTCCTCACATGATCTTCCCTCTGTGCATGTCTGTGTCCTATAAGACACAAAACGTAGTGGATTAAAGCCCAATCTAATGACCTCATTTAGCTTAAATACCTCTTTAAACACCCTGGCTCCAATTAAAGGCACATTCTGAGGTACTGGGGGTTAGAACTTCAATATATGAATTTGTGGGGAATACCATTCAGCCCATAATTCACAACATACACACACTGGATTCACTTGGGTCTGCGCTACTGTGTTACATTGATCTGTCTGTACCTGCAATAGTATCATATACAGTTATTGGAACTTTGTAACACATTTTAATATTTAGCAGGGCAAAACCTATCTCTCTGTGACTTGCCTTTTTCAGACTTGTCCTAGCTATTTTCACATTGCTCACTCTCCCTGTGAGTTTCAGGATTCATTTGGAATCCTTTGGGGATTTTTATTGAGATTAAATAGGAATTATAGATTAGTTTGAGAACGTGCTTCTTTTTAATATTGGGTCTTCCCATCTGTTACATGTTGAAATGTGTTTCCCCCAAAGACATGTTAAAATCCTCACCTCTGGTGCCTGTGAGTATGACTTTATTTGGAAAAATAGGGTCTTTGCAGATGTAGTCAAGTTAAGATGAGGTCATTAGGATAGGCTGTAATCCAATACGACTGAAGTGTTTATGAGAAATGGAGCAGGGGCATAGAGACAGAAATACAAGGAAAACGCTATGTGATGACAGAGGCAGAGACTGGAACGACATGTGTACAAGCCAAGGAACACCAGGGGTTCTAGTAACACCAGAAGCCAAGGCATTGCACAGAGCCTTCAGAGGGAGTCTGCTAACACCCTGATGTCAGAATTCCAGCCCCCAAGGACACCTGGGTGGCTCAGTTGGTTGGGCGTCCACCTTCTGCTCAGGTCATGATCCCAGGGTCCTGGGATGGAGTTCCACATCCAGCTCCCTGTTCAGCGGAGAGTCTGCTTCTTCCTCTCCCCCACCCCCACTCATGCTCTCTCTTGCTATCTCTGTCGCTATCTCAGTCTCTCTCTCTCTCTCAAATAAATAAATAAATAAATAAATAAATAAATAAATAAATAAAATAATAAAAAATAAATAAAATCTTAAAAAATAAAA